ACGGATAATAACGAGCTGCTCGTCCGCGAGAAATTTCAACACCTTTCCTCGAAGAGCGAACCCCTCCCCCACCGCTCCCACCGCAGCGTCTGTTCCCCAGAGACGGGGCCTCGCTTGCACATACTCGTCTAAGATCGACGGCCCAAGCTCCAACATAGCAACCCCAAAGAAGACATATATATATCGTCACAAATAGAACTGCCCGGTGAACCGTGGGCAGAGAGGGAGAAGACGACAACAAACGAGGGGCTGTGACAAACTGTTTCGTCGGAATTATATATACTATTTATATATACTATCATTATTGTAAAGACTAATCGGACAAAAATAAATAAAAAAAATACTACCGAGAAAACAAAGAAAATTAGAAATAAATTAACCGCGGATCGGCGATTTGATTTAATCCGAGTTTCCTGTACGGTGTGTGTGAGCTGGAAAACAAAATAAGTAGATTTGATTTAATCCGAGTTTCCTGCACGGTGTGTGTGAGCTGGAAAACAAAATAAGTAAAATTACAAAAATACTCTCTTTATTTATGTAAGTAAAATTACAAAAGTATTACTCTTTTTATGTAAGTAAAATGACAAAAGTACTCTTTTTAAGTAAGCAAAATTACAAAAATACTATTTTCTTCATTTTCCTTTCCCTGTTTTCTTTTTCGTTTTCCCCTTCGTGTTACGATCGTATGTGCGTGATCACACACACACACACACACACACACACACACACACACACACACACACACACACACACTTACACACACACACACACACACACACACACACAAGAAAAGAAGCAGCGACAACAAAGCAGAGGCAGCGCAGAGCCCCGCGTCTGAGTCGTTTGCAAACACAACCAAACTGTCAAAGTCGTGCACGAGAGCGCAATATATGTGACAAGAATCTTTTTCATTTTCTTTATTTTTTTCTTTTTTTTTTTAAAATGGGAACATGCTCCAGAATCTCTTTCTCTTAACAAGTGGTCTTCTCAAGATTAACTGTGACCCACAAGACCAGCCACAGCCAAGGAGCTACGACTTCCTCATCCCCATCCTCGCCGACAAGACAGGCCTTCGCCACACCACTGTCGAGACGAAAAAAGGCCGTCGAATGCATGCATCTTCCCGCAGAGAATGGGAAGATGCATCCGTTACTATGAATAGCAACGGATGCACCTTACCGATTTTTCTGGAAGATGCATTCATTCTTTCTCTTCTGGATACCGTAATCCACCGGAAGACAAAGACGACTGGCAATCCTTCAGAACATCCGTTAAAATTGGAACCATTTACAGAGAATGAGGAGATTAGCATGGCCCCTCCGCAAGGATGACACGCATTAGCCGAGAAATGGTATTAAAAAAAAAAAAAAAAAAAAAAAAAAAAAAAAAAAAAAAAAAAAAAAAAAAAAAAAAAAAAAAAAAACAGTGCAAATCAAGCACAAGTGCTGCTAGTCACACCTTACAGATCACCCGTTTCCGCGGAAAAAAAAAAAACCTTACAGATCACCCGTTTCCGCGGAAAAAAAAAGAAAAAAAAAAGGCAGTCAATTTCGTCGGTTTTAAAAACAAAAGGCATTATGAACTTCGCCAATAGAAAAGGGCACCGATTTTTCACGAAGTGCAGTTATATTGTGGACGTCTTCTTTTGCTGATGAAGATGATGAACTACAGCTTGGGTTTCTTGCATTCATTGTATCCGACCTCGATCCTGTTTGTGACTACGTCGTAGTGCTGTGTGCTGCCACCATAGAAGTCAATTTGCTAAGACAATAGTAAAACTGAGAAGAGAATAGCCGCAAAGACAATAGATAAACCGAGATGAGTCTCAGAATAGCCGTTTCTTTCTCCTTCACAGGGAGTCAGGGAAACATTTTGTAAGTCGCAAATTCATTATGCGAGGGACGCTGGGCCCATTTCCCAGCGAAAAGAAGGACAGACCTGGGACCACACGTCTGAAAAAAAAAAAAAAAAAAAAAAAAAAAACTGTGTGCTGACGAACGGGTTATTTGATATCTAACAGATCTTTTTCACGTCGTAATTTGAACGATCGTCACCTTCCTCGGCCCAAAATCCAACGTTAATTGATGCAAAGCAATGCTCCCACTCGCGTGTGTCATCCTTGAAATCACGTTCCTCGGCCCAAAATCGCGAGTTAGAGGGGGGGGGGGGCGGAAATCAGGAGGTAGAGAAAATAAAATAAAATAAAAAGAAAAATAATAAAAAAATAAATACATCCGACTCCACTCTCTTTTCTTTTGACTTGAGCTCAAACCTGTTCCGCTAAGATCTTCGAATTGACTGCCAAAAAGGAAAAGGAAAAAGAAAAAAAAGAAGAAAGAAAAAGCTCTTTCTCGTCATGGCCTCAATATCCCTCTCCAGGATCAGTTAAAAACAAATAAAAAGCTCTTTCTCCAAGAAAAAACAAACAAATATAAAAAGAGGAAAAAGAAAAGAATGCGACAAACTAATGAGTAAACACAGTTCTTGAGGACATTTCTCAGCGATCAGTTAAAATAATAATAATAATAAATAAAAATTCGAAACGATTCAGAGAAGAGAGAAGAGAAAACTTGATTTCAAGGATGACACATGCGAGTGGGAGCAAACGTGAAAAAAAAAACACAAAAACAATAAAAACGCTAAATTAATCGTGAAAAAGACAAAACAGGGAAGTATCAGATGCGCCGCCCGGTGCTCTCGAATTATTAAAAAAAGTGGCGACTGTATCGTCCAGAAGAATGTGTACAGATACATCTGCCATAATATATTTCACATTGCACAGATTATGAAGAACAAGGCAGAGAGACAGAGCTTCCGGGGGGAGAAAGAAAAAATGAAAACGACTCAACTCAGCGTATAATGAAGAATTTAAGCATACTTAGACTAGCATTTCGCTAGATGTTTCTGACCGTAATTACGGTCAGATGAACGCAATCACGTCCACAACTTCCCAGACAATTTCCTACTACGGTAGTAGTAGTAGTATGCCCCAAGATCGGTCAGACGCGGGTGAATCTGACCGCAATCACGTCCACACACAGCATAGCAGAACATAGCAGAAAATATGCTAGCGTTAGAATGCCTTACCTTAAGATCTTTTTTTCATTTTCATTTTCAGAATCACTCAAAGTGAAAACGACGTAAAAGAAGAAAAGTGGGAGAGATCCACGAAAACGAACATATTTTCATTTTCATTTTCAGGTTCATTTTCCTGTTCTTTTTCATGTTCACGTTCACGTTCAGGTGCAACGTACCTAGTCGCCACGGAAGAGCTCCACGCACCTCGTCAGAGAATGAAAACGGAAAACCTCAAGGCTTCGACAACGAGAAAAGATGGAGGACTAGAGAGAGAACCCACAACATACTAGAACACTTCCACCATTACACAAGGTACGAAACTCAGTATCCTCTCTCTCTCTCTCTCTCTCTCACTCTTCCCCCCCCCCCCCAACCCCTTTTTATCTCTCTCTCTCTCCTTATCACAATCACTAGCGCCTAACCCGTCACTAGGCTGGGCTCGCGTTTGACTCAGCTCCATGTACTCTCTCTCTCTCTCTCTCTCTCTCTTGTTCTCTCTCTCTCTCTCTCTCTCTCTCTCTCTCTCTCTTGTTATCTCTCTTTTTATCCGTCTCTCCTTGTGAAAATCAATAGCGCCTACCCCGTCAGTAGCCTGGGCTCGCGTTTTTCTCAGCTCTATGTGCTCTCTCTCTCTCTCTCTCTCTCTCTCTCTTTCTCTCTCTCCCCCCGCGCGCCGATCGATCGATAGTCCAATCGAAAGCTCACTGGCGTGCTCTGCGGACCCTGGGCGCGTTCGTGTATTTGAAAGAACGATCGTGGAGGTGTGTGTGCACGTCGTTCAACACACACTCACTGATTTTCCTCCGCGCTCGCAGTGAGCCGGCTTCATCAGCTTCTCCAACAAGCTGTGCCTCGGTGTTGCCGTCCCCAGCCTCCCCCCGTCCCCTCCCCTCCCCTCCCCTCCACCCTGCACGCACGTGACTCCGGAGTGGGTGAGTCCTAACCAAAGCACAGTTCACACCGAGCGGGTCAGTATGAACCGGAGATATCCGAGTTGCTACGCTACCGGTAGGCTAGCGGCAGCATGGCGATTTTTTATTATTATTATTATTTTTTGGGCGGTCGTTTCGTGCGAGCCGAGAGGGCAGTTAGCCTTGCCAGTGAACTTGCTTCGCCAGGGAAACAGTGCGACTACTGCTAGTCTACTAGTAGCAGCGTTGAGTTTCCTCAACGCCTGAATCTGGACGTCTTCTTGGAGATGTACGATTGAAGAAACTTAACGCAATTTTCTGCACATCTCCCCAGAAAACGTCCACATTTACGCGTTGAGGGAAACTCAACGCTGCAACTGCTAATGGGACTTGGCCTCAGGGAACAAGCTTCGCTTCGCCAGCTTCGCTTCGCCGAGTGAGGCCGTACCCACACTAGCACTTTCGGAAATGCATCTGACCGCAATTACGGCTCGACGTGCACGTACCTAACCGCAATTATGTCCACAGCTTTGTCGAGAAACTCCTAGTGTGACTATGTCCTGAGGCCTGAGCTTCGCCCGTGAACTTGCTTCGGCTGGTGAGAATTGACTTACGGACGTTTAGCGTAGTGCTGACGGACGCATTGACTTCCAATGCATCCGCATCGGGATATAGCACAAGCTCCCGCCCACGATCGAATCGGGATCCCAGTCGTGACGATCTCTATCTGGAAGACGACAAGGGAGAGATGAGGAATGATAAGCTACGGACACGTGTATACTTTGTTTGTTAGCCTTAGCCACGCCACAGCGGGCCTGATTGGTCGACCTATAGTTTTTTTTTTTTTTTTTTTAATATATAATTTAAAAGGGTTATTTGTAAAATATCCCTATAACTTGAGATATATGCCAAAATGCCCCTAAAAGATGTGGGTAGAGCGAAATGCCCTTTTGGGCCTAAATCTTTGTGTTTTGCCCCTGTCAGGCCAGCAATCTGGACCGACGTTGGGGCCTGGGCCTGCACCCTGATTTACCCGGTTTGCCCTCCACACCAGGTGGACAACTTTGCGGAATACCCCGGCCTGTAGGCGCAGCAGTTTCCCTCCGCGATTCAAACTTTCAAACGCGTTTCAAGTCTCTGCCTCTGTCTCTCTTCATCGTCCTGGCTCCACCCTGGTAAGGTTCCCCATCTCCAACTCCTCCTCCGCCCCAATCCTCCAAGTTCTCCTCCTATGACAGGTCACCATGTCTGAAATCCTCCTGCTGGTCACTCCTGCGATCTCTCTCTCTCTCTCTCTCTCTCTCTCTCTCTCTCTCTCTCTCTCTCTCTT